AGAATTCTATCAAAGAAATAAGTGATTTTCTATCAAATGTTGCTCATGTTAAAAATAGAGCCTTAGCGTATAGCACTTCATCTTGTTTCTTTTTGATGTCGCATACATATCCTGTATGTGAGACATAAGGACACATTCAGAAAGGAAAAAGAAGAAGAAATTCTCTTTCTATTTGTTTGCTGAAAATCTTTTTCTCTTTTCTTTCTGCGCAAGTTTTTCTTAGACCGAATGTCTGCGCATCTTGTTGTATGTGAAATAAAAAAGATGTGCTATACGCTAAGGTTCTAATATATCTTTGTACAGATGTGTATCACTTTGTTTTTCTTTCTGTTCATACGTGTAAAATTTTTAGTCAGACAGAAGCTATTTTGGTTTATGTAAGTTAAAAGAGCTCTTTTAACTAGGGTAAACTTTAAAGCAAGGTTTACCTGTAGACTACAGGTAAACCTTGCTTTTTGTATATTTCATTATAAATTTTTAGAACAATAATAATCACGAGCCAAGATAATACTCCTGAAATTACGTTGAGTCCGATCACTGCCAGTGGTTGATTTTCATTAATCCAGGATTTAACTACACCTGATGAATGTATTTCCAAAATTTAATTTAGAAATCATTGTTCATTTTCTCGCGAATAAAAGAAATGAAAGTTTAGTTAAACACAGCCATGGAGTTGAAGATGAACATTAAAGCTTTGGGTTTCTGGACAAGATGCTCCTGAAGTAAGCATGAGCACGGTCAGAAAAGACTCTAGACCACGACCGAGTCCAATACTCTTTTCATCCGGAACTACTGAAAAATTTTCTGAAAAAACAGGATTCTTATGATATTTTTCCCCGATTCGCCAGTAACAGACCCAAGACCGGTAAGGGAGCTCAAAACCTTGGTATCGTCCCAGTCTAGCCTGAAGTATTTGTTATTTCAGTTTAGTGGAAAAGTTTAATTTTACAACTAAACATTGCCCAGACTATATAAATTATGTTAATAAATTATTTCGTTATTATAACGAATAGATGCTTCTCCCATCAAACTGATGAATAATTCGTTATAAATCATGCTGCATTACTTGTTGTTGTTGAACTATTTGATCCATTTGTTGTGGATGATAAGCAAGATTAGCGGCAATACTGTTAAAATAACCAAGACCATTATTTTTTGTAACATCAAACATTTTTTCCAATATATGTGCTTGCTCTGACCGATGAGAGTCATTTGGGAGAGACGAGCTGAGGAAGAAATTTTACACGAACAAAGAATACACGAGTATAATTCTATTTTACACGAGACGGTCAACAATTATTTCTGAAACAACATGCATCGTTTAACGTACAATGAAAAAAATATTTACCTTTACCTAACTCAATTTGTATTCTTTTTATTTACTTAAACAACTTGCTGCTAGAAATGAAAGGTTTATGATATTTTTTCAAAAGAGAAGTAGTAGCAAAAGAATTAATACTCTATATCAGCCGAGCAACTTAGGCAGTCGAGCAAATAATTTCTATTCAATGATTTAAGTAGAAGATTACGACTTGCTTCAGGTAGTTTATTTAGTGACAGTTTTGTAAAGAAGTCTAAGTTGGAAAAATATACAAGGTAAATACTATGTATATCACGTCACAGCAATTCTTCAGGTAAACGGTTGTATAGCAGATGAGTAAGTCAAACTAATTAAATAGTAATAAATCACGATTGTAAACACATGCACTGTGAGGATTTTGTACGGCGACAAGCCTTTGTTCTGTCTTCACAAACACCTATTAACTTACAAAACAATCTATTTTCGACCGCTTCGTTATAAACAGAAATGACGTCAGCGAAATCTTATTTTATTACACTGATACGCTTGTTCTTGTTGAAAATAATTTATACAGTCGACTTGCAAATTAACGATAATTGTTCGTCTGTACAGTTACTTGGGTTATTTCCAAAAGATATGACGAGTACCATGCGACAATCCGGCGAATGGTCTATAACTCGATCAATGTTCAAAGCAGCCATATTACTTTCACGCAAATATAATATGACATTTAACGGACAATGTCTCGGATGGCAAGAAGTACTTGCAGAAAATGAGATAAGTGTATTGTCAAGCACATGCGAAAAAGTGGCATCAAATAATATTGTTGGTATGATTGGATCAGCATCTTCTAACGAAGTTCGTGTGGTATCACCATTTCCATTTCTTATGAATATTCCAATGGTTAGTTACTCTGCTACAAGTCTTGATCTATCAGATATAAACAGAAACGAAGCGTTTTATCGTGTAGTTCCGTCTGATCATTTTGCTGCATTTGTCATATCAAAATTATTTCAACAATTCAACTGGTCATCAGTCAGTGTTATCATTCAAAATGATGATTATGGTTATGGTGGCCTAAAAGTGTTGAAAGAGAAATTTTATTCAGCGTCGATACAGATAATAAATCAGTTAGAATTCGATAAAAAGACTGACAATTTTATAGCGATCAATAATTGGGCACAGATTCTATCAATATCATCATGTCGGATTGTGCTTGTATGGGCAACTAGAAATGTAACGTATTCAATTCTGAAACATGCTCAAAAGAAGAATATGACTTCTGATTTTGTGTGGATTTTAACAAATGATGTTCCTATAGATCACTTCAATCAGTCTGAAAAAGAAAGATTAGCTGGAATTCTAACAGTAATACGCGTCCCCGGAGCTTTAGTCGATGTTGCTATAAATTCATCATTATTAACAGATGCAAAAGAAATTTGTGACAAAATCAATAATCATAGTTGTTCAGTTAATCATGAAGTTAATAATTATGCTTTGTTTGCTTTCGATGCAACATGGGCACTTATTCTTGCACTACATAAACATTGCAATCAGCATAATCATTGCTTGGCATTTGAGAAAAATGTTACCAACTGTTTCGACGTTAGATATAACAGTGGAATACAGTATCAGCACATACTACGTGAAAATACTACGTTCCTGGGTGTAACTGGACCTGTTCAATTCCACAAGAATTCTACTGATCGTTTGAGAGGAGCTTACTATCTTGTCAAAAATCTTCAGAGAACAGGAAACACTAACTACTATGGTTACGTGCCGGTAATGAAATGGAGCGGCACTGGTACTTGGTTAAATCATTCTCATTCCTCCAGAATTGTGTGGCTTAATGATGAGTCAAAACCACTGCCAAAAGATTATGCACTTATTTCAGGACAAAAACTAAAAATAGTCGTTCTTGAATCGCCTCCTTTTGTCATTCTTAAAAATTCATCATTAGTACCTAACCAGTCAGATGAAAATCTATATCAAGGTTATTCCATCGATTTCATCAAAACATTAGCAGACAAAATGCAGTTTACATATGAAATTATAGTGGCCGAACCGAATGTTACCTATAATGATTTAGTATTTTGTGTGTCTAATAATATTTATCATATAGCAGTTGCTGATCTTACTATCACATCAACGAGAACGGATCTTGTCGATTTTTCAACAACTTTTCTTGAAAATGCTTTACGTGTCGTTATACGTCGATCTGACACAACTCGGGTGAACATTTTCGCCTATTTTCGTTCATTTTCACTCTATCTAGGGGTAGCATTTTTCGGTATCATAGTTTATAGCGGGATCCTCATTTATCTATTTGAAAAAACAAACAATCGACAGTTAGAAGAGCGAAATCACATAAAATCAGCTGGTGTCAGCCTTTACTATTCAACAAGTAGGGGAATGTTTACAAATATTAACTCCTCAGATAAAAGCAAAAAAGAATCGAAGAGCACACAAGCTTGCGGAAAGATGACAGAATATACCGCGCTTGCAGGAATTAAGACCAGGAGAGGAGCTGAGTTGATAAAAAAAAGTGTGACCGTTATTTGTGAACTAACCGCAGCCTAGCCGGATTCGGCTCTGATTTTGCTACGGCGACAACTGCTCGAGTTCTCATCGTAGGTCTCTACATACATTTACATTTACAATTATACATTGTCAGTATAATTCTTGTAGCTACATACACAGCTAACTTATCTACTTATCATGCTCTTGTGAGGACTACACCCATCATTAATGGTATCAATGACATTATTAACAGAAAAATTCCTTTCGAACGCGTGGGTATTCTAGAAAGTGGGAATACTCGTGAATATTATGTTAATAATGTCTCTCGAGTATATTACGGATTGCAATCAAAGCAAGAAATTTTTACTAAGCTACAGTCGAAGGTGATTGATGCTGCTATAACAGATAATGCTACAATCGTGTATGAAACACGAACAAACTATTCTGATCTCACTGCGGTAGGGAGAGACTTCGTTAAATCAAGTTTCGGTATTGCGATGCGCAAAAAGTGGTTATACAAGAAAGATTTAGATAAAAATATATTAATGCTGAGAGAATCAGGTTACATGGAATATTTGGCGTCTAAATGGGTTTACATGGACAAAGTTCAAGAGGACGAGCCAGATTCGAAAACGCCAGATGAGAACACGATCAAGATGACGAGCGGACTATTAATCACATTTTTTATTATCAGTCTCCTATCAATAGTTACACACGTGTGGCACATAATAGAAAAGATCAAATGGTGTATCATCATGGGTATCATGAAACTTAAAGTGTGGCTGCCGCGCGCCTCTTACTTTAGAAAATTACATCATTCTAACCCTTGTCTATACCAGTTTAAGACACCAGAATTATACCAGTTACCTTATCGCAATCAAGCTGATTATGCAGATGCACTGGAATCTCATCAGAAAGCACTTGAAATACGGAAAATTTCGCTTCCACCAAACCACCCTGATCTTGCAAACTCATACGAAAATATTGGAGAAGTTTATCGTCATCAAGGCGATTATGCTAATGCGCTGAATTCTCATCAGAAAGCTCTTGAAATACGGAAAATCTCACTTCCACCAAACCACCCTGATCTGACTGTATGTTACAATTACATCGGACTAGTTCATAGCAATCAAGGTGAGTATGGTAATACACTGAAATCTCATCAGAAAGATCTTGAAATATTCTTAAATTCAGTTTAGCTAACCTCTCAATATTTGCGAGCGGGTACTTATTTACTTGTGAATTGTGTACGTGGCGAGTGCTATAGAGATTTCGCAAGTATTTGAATATATTGCAGCTTGGCAATCACTTGTCCAAGGACCTGAGAGGTATTTCTTGTTGCATCTCACAGGGATACTCGCTGGTTATTTGAGGGAGTGGTTGGCCAAGTGATTGACAAGAAGAAATTTAAGTACATGACTTTCTTGGTAAGGAATTTGATTTCCTTAGGAAAAATCCCAGGAAATTTTAAGCAAAACTTGTGAGAGTATTTGAGCCAGTACTCGTATGTGAGTATTTACAGTGGAACTTGCTTCGACACCATCTCAAAACGTTTATTTTTCTTTAAAGGCATTAGAGATGACTAAGCAGTGATAATTTTTGATGAAAAAATAAGTTATGAGCAAAAAAATGTCTGATGTCCGCCTGCTATTAGAAAAATGCCTGCTGTGAGTGTGTTGTCGAATGTAGAGATCTAACAGAACCCAGACTTGTTTTCTCGTCTGTTCGATTAGAATGCGGTTCGAGTTCGATGCTGATTTAGTCCGTATTCAAAACATTATCAGCATAATATTTTTTTACTACTGTTTGAACTTTTGAGAGAAAATTATTGGCAGATTCGGTAATTACTTCTTTATTTTCAACTTCTTTTTCTGTAAAGCGCTGGGCTCTACGGAAGGCGAAGGAAATGTCTTTGGCTACTATTAGCACCATACCCCAAGGCCGGTAGTTATTTTTTGAATAACTCAAAAGGAAAAAGATAGAGACTTGCGGTTTTCATCATTCACTAGTTAAGATCTGAAGCTATGTTTTCGTCAGCAAAAATAAATTTGGGAAATATTTCAAAGACGGGTTTTTCTGGATGTCTGTGGAAAATCCGTTCGTTTCTCTAAAAACTGACATAGAAATCTATGGATTTTTTCATAAATATATAGTTCGAAGTGTCCTCTACAAAACTGCATCTAATCGACATCTTGGAATCCATGGTCCGGCAGCTATGGACGTTTTTCCTGAAGCCTTAGCTCTTCTCTGTCGTTAGATTTGAGACTGTCGAAAATGGATGATAAGATAGGTTATCGACTATGCTGAATCTCGTGACAGTGTTAGTTTTCAGAACTAAACGCAAGAACCGAGTGAACCTGCACTAGGTGAATGATCCATTTTTGATTATTTTCATCTAAAATTAAAAGATTCATGACTCAGTCCATCCAACCTACTTCAGAATGTCAGAAAATACTCTATCTAATCCGCACTATACCGTAAAGCCCAATAAATGTTGAAGAAACCAACAGAAAATACTTCGGTTTCTAGAAAGGTTTTGCAGAAATTTATAACCGCAAACGTTATAACCTTTTTCAAATAAATTGTTTTGGACTTTTATTTCCGTGTCATACTAAACAATGACGAAAACGAAAAATGTACTTTCTGTAAGAGACTGTCCTGAAACGATTTTGAACTGTCGCCCAACTCCGTTTCCGTTTACCTATTTTTAGATCTTTCTCGTCAAAGTAGTCGAGCATCTCTCGTGCAAATCGAAATCGCACACATTCGAAACTAAACGACCCAAGCAGAATATTTTCTTGGTCATCATGAAGATAATAATCATTTGAGACGGTTCATTTGAATCTGTATTACTTTCGTCACTCTTATCGTCCTCGAAACAGAACATACGATCGAGCGAATTTTCATCTTCAACGTAAAACGGCGTACTATTCCAAGCATGAAAAATGTATCGGGTATCGCCCGATGCAGCTAGATATACTAGATACATAACGCGATACATCTAGACGCGTAAAAAAGAGAAAAAGTTGAATCGGGTTATCGGCCGATACATCCAGATGCAGCTGATTCTTTTCTAGATGTATCTAGTTATGTATCTAGTAGCGAGTTTAACCCGATTGATCGGGCAATATATCGGAAGATGAATCTAGTTGTATATCGGCTGTAGATGAGACACGCGTGGAATCGCCCGATAACACTACCGATACATCGTACAATGTATTGGGCGATGCATCGTGGGATATATCGATCGATTCACCTGCTTGAACACCGGTTTAAGTCAATTCCATTCCATCCTATAGTTAAAATCGAGGGATGGATCTAGTGTAAGGCGATTTCCAGCTAGATGCAACTAGTGAGAAATCACCCAGTTCTAAATGAAGAGAAACAGTAGTTATCATTTTGCACCGTGAAGCTCAAGTTGTACAAAGCTGAGCCTCATAGATAGAATTGAGGAAATTTAATTTTCTAAATTTCATCTTCTAGGCTCAAGTTTGAAAAACATCTCCTTCACAGTGAAAATTCGGGAAAACTACTTTTTTAAAACTACTTTTCAGTTTCCCGCCACGAACAAAGTACTTCTCAAGTTTGAGTTTGGAACAGAATGTGTAGCAAATTTAGTTTTCTGAATTTTATCTGACAGGCTCAGCTTTGTACAACTAGATCTTCAAGATAAAAAGCACAAAACACCATTTAGTCTAAAGACCAACTTTTAGAGTTTCAACACCAGTAGAAAAATTTTAAGAAATTAAATTTCCAGCATTTCATGTTCCAGACTCAAGTCTAATAAATGCTTCTATCATGGTGAGAAACGCTTATTATTGTTAATTAGTTATTTTAAAGGAGGAGGGCGGATAAGGTAGGTTTCCCGCACCCAATGGAATTGCATTTTTTCTATCAGAAACATGTCAGGGGATTATTTGAAACATTTTGTACCACTTAGTTTTTCAAAATTTTTTTGGAAGGTTTTTGGCGCCTTTGGTCC